AAGAATTGTTTTGGGCTCAGTTGTGATTCTTGCTTTTCTTTCCTAGTTTACTTGTAAGATTAAGGAGGGGCTGCAGCTCGTGCCTCTCCCTGGGATGTTGTATGAACTCACTCTAAATCTGCTTCTGAATTAATAAATTTATTATCATTCATCAAAAAAACAATTATGCCCGAGCATAATCTGACTCATTGACTTTGATCCACTATTACTGCTACTAACATGATGGCTCCGATGTCTCGGAATCTCATCCAGAAGGTAGACTCCATTCACCTCACGACCACTCCCAATCGTCTTCTTTGGTTCAAGATCATGCAAAACACAATTATCAGGAAGAAAGGTCACTGAGCAGTTCAAATATTTCATCAAAGAGCTTACTGAAAGAAGATTAGTGTGGAGTTTAGGGACATGTAAGACAGAGGATAAAGTAATGTCATTAGTCACTCTAATTGTCCCTTTCCTAGCAATGGGAATATGGGAACCATCTGTTGTAGAGACTCTATCTCTACTAGAACACAATTGGTAAGAACTAAAGAGGGTAAATATATTTGTCATGTGCTCAGGTGCTCTTGAGTCTATAATCCAGGGAGGTCCCTCCTTACCTGAGGTGGATACATGATTTGCAATTGCATATGAACTACCTGTATGAGCAAATGAAGTAGTATGGTTGGCTCCTGCACTGTTCCACCCATTTGAAGAACTAGAATTGGCTGAATCCTTCTTACTCGTAAGCTGTCATACTTTTCCAATTCAATCCTCACTGTTGTTGCTGCAATGGACTCTAGATCAACTTGGGAGAGGGGTCCTGAAGGGTCTCTTGTAAATGCCACATTTGCATTACCCTTCTTGTTCTTGATCCGAGCTGGTACGAGACAAAGGAGATGTTGCCTAGCAATGTTGAATTTAGGGTCAGCCCAGCCAAGAACTCAAAAACCCTATTCTTTCTACCAATCCCTAATAGGTTGATGCATCCTTCATACTCTCCCAAACCACAATTTCTAAGTGGTCAATCTCCTGCCAAAGAGTTTTCAGCATGGAGAAATAGGTGGCAAGAGGTCTTTCCTGTTTTGTACTAATCACCTGATTCCTTAACTAATATGCTCTAGCTACATTTTGTTTATGGGAATAGGTTTCAGTCACTCATCCCAAATCTCCTTTGCAATATTAGCCCACAAAAAATTTTTACCAATGTGAGGTAACATAGACGTACACAGCTAGGTCATTACCATGTAATTCTTCTGTACCCACCAGGAGGGATCTGTATTAGGTTTCTTCTCCTCCCTAGTGATGTACCCCAGTTTCTTACGAGCACCAATGGCCATTTTGGCTAGTTGTTGCCCCTTCTAGATAATTTGTACCATCAAACTTCATTGTAGTAATAATTCCAGACCCAAAAATATCACTACTACCTCCAACACCCAGACCCACGTTATTGGTGGACTTCTGCTCGGTACTCCAACTCTCCATTTTACTTCAAACAATTCAAAAACAGAAAAAATTAGGTAGAGAGCCTCCAAGATCAAAAGCAGAAATCTCTCTCCTCCCATTGTTTCTCACCGGAGAGAAAAGTGAATCGACCACTCCAGAAGGCCCAAAAAATTCCAGAAACCTAACCGTTGCCCCCTATAGAAAACCTAGAGCAGTCCAACAATACCTGAGCGCCCAAAACATCGATCACCCTCCTGATGACTAGATTACACAAAAAAATCCAAAAATTGGGCAATCTGAAGTAGATCGATCAGCCCTTTATCTCCTCATGCAATCGGCTGATCTAGGACTGCATGAAAAAACTTCAAGAAATCCTACCCTTGCTCCGATACCAAGTAGAAAGTTGCTGAAATAAAGTAACTCAATGGTCTGATACCATATTGATATTATATTATTTTCAAAAAAAAAACCATCAACCCCTAAGCTTGTTAAACTACTTAAAGTAACTCAATGATCAAGTGAGACCATGCCCTTTGTAACCATGAGTGCTTGGGTTCAAATCTTCACATTCCCAAAAGTATTCACAAGGTGCCAACCAGCTGGTTGGTAAGGTCTCCTGCTAGTCATAGCATTGACTTGGGATCAAATCCCGTTTGCACCTGGGTAGGGGAACGGGTTGGTCGGTTTCATTAGTTTGATGGATTAACCTAATTGAAATTAATTATTGTTATTTTTGTATTATAAAAAATTTATTAAAAGTAGTATATAAAATATGAATAATTATTAATTATTTAAAAAGTAGAAAATATAAAACAATTGTTTACTCTTATGTGTTTCTATTAGGGTCATTTACTAGAACACACCTTATAGTTTTTACATATTTACTTAAACCTACCTTATAGTTTTCATTTACTAAAATATACCATATATTTTACAACTTATTTACTTAATCAACCTTTCATTAATGAGTGTTTGTTTTGCCATTAGGCCCATATTTTTTATTCCAAAAATACCCTTAACACTTTTTTGAATAGAAAACAAAATTGACCAAGCATAGCCAATAGAGTGGTTGCTTGTGCTTTATTAGGGGCAAAAATGGTATTTTTATTTGTTTTTTGATTAAATTTATTTAAATGAACATTAGGGTCGACACTATCATCTAATGGAAGATTGATTAAATCCATTGCAAATTATAAGTGGTGTTTTAGTAAAATACAAACTATAGGGTAGATTTTTGTAAATCCATGAAACAATAGGGGGTGTTTTAGTAAATAACCCTTTCTATTATATTTAGCTTTTGCTTAACAAATCCAGTGCATCGCATGGGTCCCCGCTAGTTTTTTTTTTAATTAAAAAAGGGGTTCCTGATACACCTAATATGATACAGTACGCCCGATATGTGGCGTATTGTATCGAAATTTTGATCCTTGCCTACAAATAGTGTTTAGTGGATTCTCCTAAATGGATGGTGTTTGTGTTGAATACATGTTGGTATTGTTCTTTCTCATTGTCTTTATTAAAAAAGGGGGTTCTTGAAACACCTGTAAACAGGTGTATCAGGACCCCAAAGATATGATACAGTACGCCCGAATAGCATTGATTCGAACCACTTCTTTTTACACTGTTAAGGGTAGTTGCCTGACATGTCTCATTGTCTTTATTATCGTTTTATTATCTCTCTTTTATTTGCTTTTATTTGTTAGTATTGTTCCTTCTCTTTGGTAAGTGAAGGACATGGCCAATTATGTCTTTTTATTATTGTTACTTAAGTGTAGATTAGTCACTACATTTTATTACTAAAGAGCGGTATTGATGTAATTTCTTCAGTTAAATAAGATTGATATACATAGAAACCTAGCCAATTGGGAGACCATCCAATTCTCCCATTTGGCAATTGAGTTCTCTCTCTGACTTGTCTACTTCTGTTTTATTTTTTTCTTGTCACAAATTAGATTGGTTTATTTGGATTTCAGTTCGATTTGGTTTTGTTTTTACAAAATTTCGGTTTTCAAGCTCAATTTGGATTGGTAAAATTTCTTAACCAAACCGAACCAAAAACCAAAATAGCTGAATTATATAATAGCCAGACTTGGATATTAATCTGTTTGGATATGGTCAGGTGCCAGTCTGATCCGATTAATGTATTTTCATCTGAATCCAAAATAGTTGGATTAGATCTCAGGTTGGATGTTGGATTTTATGTGTCCATTGACAGCCCTATCTGTATATAGCCGACCTCTCCCATGACCCTACATATATCATCATTGGGTTCAGGTCCCAAGTCTACAGCCGATGGTTATGCATTTATTCTCTATATAAAATAGCAATATTCCATTATCTTCTAATGCTTGGGCGATTAATATGGTATGGTTTTGTCAATCCTTTTTGGTCTTATATGATATTCTAACAAAATGTAACATCGAAGTGTAGGTATGTGGTTCTTTTTCTTAAAGAGCATGGAAAGGAGGTGTATATGGAGGTCCGTGGAGCATACATTGACACAATGAACAAGGTAAGTGCTACCAAGTCAGCCCTAAAATTTTGAGTGTAAGATTTACAAGGACCTGGTATTTATCATGATGCTTATGTTATTTGTGCCTTTGTGGCAAATGTAACTTCATTAACTATTTGAAAAGAGGAGATACATAAACGTAAGAAATAAGAAAGAAAAATGTGAGGGTAAATCCAACATAAAATAATGAAACTACCCCCTCCCTCCAATAACAAACTGGCCCATATGAATCAAAGCTTATCTGACTTCAACCCCACACCCCACCCCAATTATCAATGTGAGTTTTGACAGCCTTGCCTCTTCTTCCCCTTACATCTGTTTATTGATGTGACCTCCCTTACCTTTTTGAGTTGAGTCCAATATTCTCTGCTCTTTGTACTTCACCCCTCCCACACCCCACCCATGCAGTTGCAACATCAGTTCCCTCCTTGTACTTCACCCCTCCTAACAAGTATTCAGATGATTTTCTCCCTAGATGTAACCTTCATTTAGAAGGATTTAACCACAGATTGTAATTGAGCAACATTTTAAAATGGTTCAGTTTAATGAAGATAAAAAACATGCAAAATTCAACTCTGCAGATCCCCTTCCTGATGTCTATGGGAGATAGCATGCTCCGATGGCAGGATACCTTTACATGTCTAAGCATAAACAGTTTTAAAATATATGTAAAGTATGAGCAATGCACATCAAGAGTTGGTCAAGTATGTACTATTATGTAGGCTCAGGTTGTGACAGAAGCAGTGGAGTAAAAGTTCATGCTTCTTAATAAAACTTTTACTGATCCATTAATGATAGAAAAAATACCAAAAACTCTGAGAAGAATTAGAAGCTGTAAAAAAATGGTCAATTTGATCTAGTGGCATACATGGCCAAAGCCAAGTTTTAATGCAGCAGATGCAAGCTCCTTCTTCTTTTTCCTTGCTCTTATACCAATTAGTATAGGGATAATGTGTAGATGAAGAACCAGTAAAAGAGACGAGGGTTTGAAGGGAAGTAATTCTGGACTCTATTTTCTCTCTTCTCTCGATTTCTGTCCAGGTAAATTGAAAAAAGTAACAATAAAAAGAAATTCAGAGGCTTGTCATAGATACATAAAATGTATACATAATTATAAGTACCCCCCAGGCGCTCATACACAAAATGGTTTCCCAAAATTACAACTATGCTCATTCTAGACGAGTTGGTTTAGTTATTCACTATGATTTTCTATAGTATTTGTCATTTCAGAGAAAGTGTACTTGGGAAGTTTACAATTTCATCATTATCAAAATATGATTTTTTTCTTCTGTTTTCAGGTTTTGAGTGCACACTTTCATGCTTATATACAAGCCCTGGAGAAGCTACAGCTGGATATAGCAACAGCAAATGATTTGATTGGAGTTGAGACAAGGGCTACAAGCCTCTTTTCAAGAGGAAGAGAACCTTTAAAGAATCGGTCTGCTGTTTTTGCTTTGGGGGAGAGGATAAACATTTTAAAGGTCCCTACTTGCAGTGAGACGTAGTCTTTGATGATAATATATCTTAAAATTATACATTTGTATTGTTAATAGGATCTCTTTTCTGCTCAGCTAAATTGATTTTCAATCACTTACTCTATTTTGAACTTGTCTGTTATTCTTCTATCATAATGGTCTTCAGAGTTTTCCTTCAAATAATTTACCGTAGTTCTTAACTTTTTTTTTTATTCGAAAAAGGCAAAGTATGGAATTTCTCAACTTATTTCGAGATATAACATCTTCAGTTTTCTATTCAACCGTGGTTAAGCTAGAAAATGAAACATCTTCAGTTCTAAATATGACCTATTTTGTTTTTTTGATAATTGAAATATGATTTTATGTTTTGTTTTTTTGATAAGTATGACCTATTTTGCTTGCAATGCAATTTCATTATCAGTTTAGCACTGGTGTAAATGTTTTTTTTTTTTTGATCAGTAGAATGAGAATTTTATTCTTATCAGAGAATTAAATACAGAAATACAGCAATTAGAAAACAGACATTGCACCAGAAGTTGTTACAGAAAAGCCCAAAAGAGCTGTTGCCTTTGAACTCCCTGTTTGGCTAGAGAATCAGCCATTCCATTTACAGTTCTCCTGATCCATGTGAACGAGGCATTAAGTTCCCTTGCTATACTTACTATCTCCCTTAGTGGATGTCTATATATCCAAGGAACATTCCCGCTTGATTTGGTCCAAGGTATCAGTTTATTTTATTCCCCTTCTATGTCCAAGTTTTTAAGATCTGCTTGCTTGGCAAGTTTTAACCCTTGTAGCAGAGCTAATAGTTCAGCTTTTAGAGAATCACCTTCTCCTGAAGGTCTTGAGTACATGGCCAATACTTTGCTTGAGGAATCTCTGAACCCACCACCAATGCCTGACATACCCGAGTTTCCTATAGATTTCTCATCAAAGTTCAGCTTAATCTTGTTGGGACTTGGGGGCTTCCAATCCATCACCTGTCTTTCTTTCTTCTCAGCAGTGTGTGCCACTTCATTTCACGCTCTTACTATATCAGAAATTGAGAAATTTTGAAAGAGACGGAGTGATTTCACCTAGTGTGCAAATTTTATCTTTATGGCATCCACTAGATCTTATGACCTATACTTCTCATTGAAAATTCTTGCAGTCCATTCCTCCAATATTGTCCACACCGCCATTGCCCTTACTGATTTCCACATAACCGTTCCTCTTTTTGTTGGCTGCCTAAGAAAGTTTGGATTGAAGAGGCTTTCTACATCTTGGGGAGTATACCACCTGCAACCAAAAAGAGAGCAAAAAGATTCTCAAACAAAAAGAACAAAATGGCAATGTATTAATAAATGGGATAGGGGTTCACCATTTGCAAGGCAAAAAATGCACATATGAGGGGAGGCATTTATTTGGCCTCCTTTTTTGAAGCATGTCATAGGTGTTCACCTTCCCAAGAAACATCTCCCAACACAGAGCTTAGACTTTGGTGGAATGGGCTTGCTCCCAACCTCTTTCACCGGAAAATTCTCACCCCCAACAGGAGTTTGTACAAGGGTATTGAAGAAAGAAGCACAAGTAAATGTGCCATCAGAAGAAGCAGACCTTACTCTAGTGTCCTCCAAAGATCGACCAAGTAAACTGACTTAAGAGACTCAAGCAAACAGATGTGGGACTCAGATTCATTATCCCTCAAACCCCTTCTGAAACAAAAATCCCAACTCAAACTAGAGTAAGATAAGCTAACGAAATTTGAAATGGGTTGTAACTTGTAGGTAGAAACTGAATAAAGGTCAGTGAAATGGGAACACAAAGGAGTACCACTCAGCTAATGATCTTTCCAGAAAAGCACCCTAGAACCACAACCCATATCATATCTAATGAGATTAAAAAGATAGGATATACCTCTTGAATTGCTTTCAACGAAGAGCTTGAGGAAGATGTGGAGGCTATCTTTTCATCCCAGCCATTGTTCATCAGCCCGTGAATTCTTTCTATCACCTTATGCCACAACCTATCACTTTCCAAAGGAAACCTCCAAAGCCACTTTCCTAACAAAAAAGTATTCCTGTGGACTAAGTTCCCCAATCCTAAGCCCCCCTTTTCCTTTGTTTTGCTTACTTGTTCCCACTTTACTAGATGATCCCACTTTTCCTCCCCAGGTTCCCAGAGAAAACCTCTCATAAGTTTTTGTGGCAAGATAAAGAGGAAGAGAAGAAGAAATGAAGAGGGAGAGAAGAAGAAACACTTCTGTATTGATAATGTGTTGATAAAACATGTTGAGCATGCAACTTAAATAAGAAAAGATAGGAGAGACAAACTTCTAGGATCTCTCTCAATTACTCCTAGAATCTCTCTCAATTAGGGATTGATTAAATCTTTCCCTTAATCCTAGGATATGACTTTCCTAATTTT